CTTGGGGGGCTTTGAGGTCCGTGAGCCAGAAGGCTCGTGAGGCCGGTGGTTGGTAAAGGTGGGTGGCAGCAGGGTGTCCGTGGGGGTGGGAGCGGCCGCTGCGTTATCCGTCCGGGGAGGGCGGCAGGCGGGGCTCCTCTCCCGGGAGGGAATGACCACCCTGGACCCGGTTGGACCCAGTCGAAGGGAAGGGGCTGAGGCCTGTTCCAGACGAAGGGAACGGCCAGGGCGGAGGGCAGGGCTGATGGGAGGGGCGGTGGGGTCTCAGCGGAGGGTTGTCTCCAGAGCCTCCTTCGGATGAGAGCCGGCCCCAGGGAAATCAGGCAGTGGGGAGGGGAGGGGAGGGGAGGGCGCCTTATCTTGGCCCTCAGCCCCAGGGAGGGTGTTTCCGGAGGTTTTGCCCGATTTTAGGGCTCGTGCGGGTGTCTCCTGGGCGGCTGATTTCAGAGCTTTCTGGTCCATGTTTGGGAGGGGCAGGGTTTCAGCCACAGGACCCAGGTGGGAACCAAGGCCTGGGTTTGCCATGGGGTGTGCTGTGGCCCAGCAATTTGACTGGGATCTCGCCCACAGTGGGGGCCTGGACACCGCCATGGGCAGCCTGGACACCGCCCCCTGCTTTCCCATCCCTGGGGCCTCGGCCAGCTGGCCAGGGCAGGGCACCCTCCCCCCCGCCACAGGGGAGCGGAACCAGGGGCCAGAGACCCATAAAGCCGAGGCGGCCTTTACTGCCAGCTTTGTGTTGGCCGGCCACAGCACAGCCATTAGAAACGCCTCCCCCACCAGCAGCTGGGCCCCCCACCCGCCCTCCCTTTACGGCCACGCATCAGTGCCCCAGCCCCACGGGGGGCTGACCGTGCCTCTCCACTGGCCTCATTCACCCACCGTTTGGCTTGGGGGTTGATGGCTCCTGCCCCCCAACCCTTCCTGGCCCCACACGGGGCAGCTGTTGGCTGACCTGAGCCTCGGTTTCCCCACCTGGAATGTGAGGGTTGCAGGGGTGCTAGGTGCTTGGGGTAAAGCTTCTATGTCTTCTCACACACTCTTCTTGAGCGGTGGGGAAACTGAGGCAGGAAGCGCGGCGAGGTTTTTGTAGGGACTGTGCTGGGGAAGGGGGTTCACTGCGTCAGAATCTCGGAGGAGACGACCTTCCCCTGGTCCCCAGAGGCGTGCTGGCCTCTGCATTCGCATCTTAGGGGGCTGCCGTGACGCAGGACCTCAGACAGTGGACTTGAGACAGCTGAGACCTGTCCTCCCTCTGTCCTGGAACCCAAAGTCCAAAATCCCGGCATCTGCACGGCTTTGCTCCGTCCAGGGGCCGCAGGAGGGACCTTCCGCCTCCCCCGGCTTCTGGGGGCTCCGGGCCTCTGTCTCCGTGTCTCTTCTTCCGGTGGGATGTGGGACCCACCGGAATTCACCGTGATCATCTGCCAACGCCCTTTTTCCAAATCGGGTCCCGCTCTGCGGTTTTGGGTGGGGGGTGTTTGCCCCGGAACAGCTCCAGTGGTGAAATCCTCTCCATCCCAGTACCTGCGGTCTCAGGCGCTTCTTCCGGGGGCGAGCTCATTCTGTCCCCCTCTCCGCCCTGCCTGGCCCGAAATTACAGCTGAGGAAATCGAGGTTCATGTAACAAGCATTTATTAGGCAACTGCTGTGTGCTCAGCCCGATTCTAGATTCTGGGGACAGAACAGACAAAAACCCCAGACAAACCCCTAAATCCACGACTCGGGTGATGGACCGGATCTCGGAGGAAGAGAGGGGAGGGGAGGGGGCAGGGGTCGGAGGAGGAGGCCTGGCGTGTGGCCCTGTGTGCGTGCCTGTGCTCATGGGACCCGCCGGCCCGGCCAGCCAGGTCTACCTGCGGGCCCCACACCCCTCACGCAGCTGAAGGGGAAACTGGGCCTCCCCGGCCACCATAAATCAGCGCAGGAATGCGGGCTGGCCAGTCTGGCGCTGGCCGGGGTGGGGCGGAGACAAAGACCAGGCAGCTGGACCTCTGGCAGCCCGACCACCCAGGGCAGAGGTCAGGACTCCTGGCTGCCCCCCCAGCCCCTTCCTGGAAGCCCTCACTTGGCCTCCAATACACAGATGGGGAAACTGAGGCCCAGGGAGGGGCAGGATGGCTGCAGGGTGGCCGGGCCCTCAGCCGGCCTCCCCAGCACCCAGGATTTCCCCGCAGCAGGGGCTGGGCGTGGGCCTCGTTCCTGGGCCCTAATGACGGATCATCCCAGCCGAGGCCTAATTGGTGGTTTCAAGGCCCCCCACTGCCCAGCCAGCCACATTCCCCCGGGCTTAATTGGCAGCCTGGTATTTGTCCCTGCTCCTCCTCAGCAAATGGGCCCCCGCCTGAACTCTGCTTTCTGATTATCCCAGCCGGCGTTCCCCCACCCTGCCTGCCCCTGCCTGCCCGCCAGAACCTGGCGGGGGAGGGCCGGGGGACCTCCGGGCCCCTGTACCCCGGATGGAATCCCTTTCCCCTCTGGAAGACATTCCGGGCCTGACGGTCTTCCCCGGCCAGCACCCCGGCAGGCAGAGGCTGTCAGTGGCTCATTTCCTAGCTGGAGGCGGAGACCCCAGGGTCCAGGTAAGGGGAAGCCAGCAGGAGGACCAGGATGGGAACCAGGAGGAGGCCCTGGGCCCCACACGCACCACTGTGCCTCGGTTTCCCCAGCTGCAAAACAGAGCCAGTTCTTGGGGCAAATGGGCTCCTGTCAGACCCTCAGGGCAGCCCCGGAGGCAGCTGATGATTTGCAGTGATTGGCTGTGTGAGTCAGGCAGGCAGTCTAGGTTAAACTGTGTCCCCCAAGGAAGATAAGGTGAAGCCACAGCCGGTGGCTCCCGCCTGTCACCCCAGCACTTTGAGAGGGCGACATGGGAGGATCGAGGGAGCCCAGGAGTTCGAGCCCAGCCTGGACAACATAGCAAGACCCCATCTCTACAAAAGAAAACGTAAAACGTAGCCGGGTGTGATGGCGGATGCCTGTGGTCCCAGCCACTTGGGCAACTGAGGCAGGAGGATCCCTTGAGCCCAGGAGGTTGAGGCTGTGGTGAGTTATGGTTGCACCACTGCACTCCAGCCTGGTTGACAGAGTGAGGCCCTGTCTCTAAAAACAGACAAAAAAGGCCGGGCACGGTGGCTTCCACCTGTAATCCCAGCACTTTGGGAGGCTGAGGTGGGCAGATCACAAGGTCAGGAGATCAAGACCATCCTGACCAACATGGTGGAGGGCGCCTGTAGTCCCAGCTACTCGGGAGGCTGAGGCAGGAGAATCGCTTGAACCCGGAAGGCGGAGGCTGCAGTGAACCGAGATCGCACCCCCGCACTCCAGCCTGGGGACAGAGCGAGACTCCGTCTCAAAAAAAATAAAGAAGGAAGGAAAGAAAAGAAGTAGTTAGATTCGAGTACTGGATTCCCGGTACCTCTGCTGGGGACCTCATTTGGAAACAGGCTTCTCACGGACGTACAGTCACGTGTTGACGCTTGGGTCAACCTCAGACCGCACGGAGGACGGCGGCCCCACAGCATGAGAATTCTGTGTTTCTTCTTCACCTTGCCTGTGTTCAGATGTGTTCGATGCACAAACACTCACCACCGGGTCCCCGTTGCCTACAGGATCCAGCGCAGCCGCGGATTTATAGCCCAGGAGCGCCGCGCCGTGCCTGGTGCCTGGGTGTGTGGGAGGCTTCCCCCGTGAGGGGGGTGTGTGAGTCACTCTGTGATGTTCACACCGACAAAATCACCGACAGACACGACAGGACGTGTCCTCCATGAAAACAGGCTGAGGCTGGAGCGAGGCGGCCACGAGCCCAGGAACCTGGACCCCCCGGAAGCCGTGAGAGGCAGGAGGGCTCCTCCCCTGGAGACTTGAGAGGGAACGCAGCCCTGCAGACACCTTTTGTGTCCCCCGTGCTGGAGTGCAGTGGCGTGGTCTCGGCTCACTGCAGCCTCCACTGCCCGGCCTCAAGCAGTCCTCCCCCCTCAGCCTCCCGAGTGGCCGGGACTGTAGGCACAAGCCTTCCGGCCTGGGTAACTTTTTGTATTTTTGTAGAGATGGGGTCTCACTCTGTTGCCCAGGCTGGTGTTGAATTCCCGGGTGCAAGCCATTCCCCCGCCTCCCAAAGCGCTGGGGTTACAGGCACGAGCCACCACCCTGCAGAGACACTGATTTTGGATTTTCGGGCTCCGGGACTGTGGGAGAATAGATTTCTTTTTCTTTTCTTTTTTTTTTTGAGACGGAGTTTCACTCTTGTTACCCAGGCTGGAGTGCAATGGCGCGATCTCGGCTCACCGCAACCTCCGCCTCCTGGGTTCAGGCAATTCTCCTGCCTCAGCCTCCTGAGTAGCTGGGATTACAGTCACGCGCCACCATGCCCAGCTGAATTTTTGTATTTTTAGTAGAGACGGGGTTTCACCATGTTGACCAGGATGGTCTCGATCTCTTGACCTCGTGATCCACCCGCCTCGGCCTCCCCAAGTGCTGGGATTATAGGTGTGAGCCACCACCCTGCAGAGATGCTGATTTTGGATTTCCGGGCCCCAGGACTGTGGGAGAATAGATTTCTTTAAGCTGTAGGGAGCTAAGGATCAATTTGGCGTGAGGTGTCCCTAAAACCAGCAAGCTGGTGTCTTGGGAGAAACGGGGAGAGGGTCTCATGGAGACAGAGGCAGAGACTGGGGCGCTGTGGCCACCAGCTGGGGACCACCTTGATCTGGGGTTTCGGGGCCCCAGGGCCAGGAGAGGGCCCCGCCTGCCGTCCCAGGCCACCGGCTTCTGGTGCCTCCTTGCTGCCGCCCCAGGAAGCTCGTTCCCCCACACGTCTGTCTCTCGGCCCGTGTTCTTCACCTGCCCAGCTCCGCTACGGCTCTGGCAGCGACTCAATGGAGCCGTTCAGAGGTGGCGACCCCTGCTGCTGTCCCGGCCCGGCCTCCAGTGCAGCGGGGACGGGCTTCCCACGCCGGAGCTCTGGCGCTGACTGACCGGTCCCCTGTCTGCCCTCACAGCTCTATGAACTTGATGGGGACCCCAAGAGGAAGGAATTCCTGGATGACTTGTTCAGCTTCATGCAGAAGCGAGGTGAGCCCCCTGCCCCCACCCCCCTGGAGGGAAGGCCCAGAAACGGGCCGGAGGAGGGCCCCTGCTGGCTCCAGGTATGTTGCGGGGTAGCAAGCTCCCCATGGCTGGAGGCATCCCGGGCTCTCGAATCAGGAGGAACTTCAGGGGTGTCTTGGGGGGAAACAGCCTGCCATGGGGGGGCTGATGCAGGAGGCCTGGCTGTGAGTCTAAGCGGCAGGTCCCTTGGTGGGGGGGTCTCAGGGCCCCAACACGGAACAGACAGTCCAGGCCATCTCTTTGGCACCCAGCCTGCAGTGAAGTGGGGGTCCCCACTACTGGGTACTGGGGGAGTGGTGCCCCCTCTGTGCTTGGGGCATGGGGTCAGGTCCGGCTGGCCACCTGGGCCCCAATCCCCCTCCACGAGGTGGCTTAGAGTCTGATGAGCTTGTGGCCGCCGATTCGACCTTTGAGTCCTGGCCCCTCCCCTCCTCCCACCAGGGCCTCAGTTTCCCCATCTGTAAAAATGGGCCACAAATGACTGGGGGCGGTGGCTCACGCCTGTAATCCCAGCACTTTGGGAGGCCGAGACGGAAGGATCACGAGGTCAGGAGTGTGAGACCATCGTGGCCAACACGGTGAAACCCCGTCTCCACTAAAAGTACAAAAAATTGGCGGGGCGTGGTGGTGGCACCTGCAGTCCCAGCTCCTCAGGAGGCTGAGGCGGGAGAATCACTTGAACCCCGGGAGGTGGAGGTTGATACAAACAGTTCCTGCCCAACACTCAGTGGCCAGCAGGTACCTGAGACGTGCTGAGTGCAGGGCGGCTGTTTACTGAGCACACTTATTGGGCACCGACGGTATACCAGCCCTGCCCCGGTGTCTCCTGGCCTGGGAGCATCTTATGGCCGAGGCCTTGAGAACAGCCTGGGGACCAGGCATGTGGAGGAGGGACCCTCCAAGGGCAGGTCTGGGCTGGTGTCCAGGTGGGGAAACTGAGGCTGGGGCACAAGACAGGCTCAAAGGTGACAGAGGGTGGCTGGGGTGTCCCCAGCGGCCATTCCCAGGCCTCACCCCGGCTTGGAGCGACCAGACGCCCTGGACGGCCAGACGGGGTCCTGGGAGCATCTGCAGCCGGGTGGGGGCCGCTCCGACCCCCTGCACACTCCTCTGTAACAGGGAGTAGCTCCCGTCCCCACTGTTCAGACGGGGGAGGAGGCCTCCGGGCTCACAGAGGCAGGAAGGGGTGGGGCGGAGGGCTCTGTCCCCGCACTTGGGGCTGTGGCGGGGGCCGTTGCAGGGGCCGCTGTGTCCCAGCCTCCACCCACCCCTCCCTTGGCTTCTATAAACACAAGCCCCAGACTTGCCACTGCCAGCCGCCCGGAAGGGAAGGAGGAGGAGGAGGAGGAGGAGGGCTGTGGGCCCCCCGGCCCGCACTGCCCAGCAGCCTCCGAGTTAACCCCTCCCGTGCTGGGAACAGAGGAATCCAGACCTGGGACCTGGGCGGGGGGCCCCTGCTCTGTTATCCTCCAAGCCCAGGTTTCACCGGGGCCCACTGCCCCTTACGCGGCCAGACAGATCTGCCCCTACCCTTTATCATCCTGTTCACACCTGCCCGGCCCTGACCACTCTGCTGTGGGGTTCCGAGCTCCTGGGTCCACAGCCAACCCGTTTTGCTGTCACCCATGCCTGGTGCAGCGCCTGGTGTCCCGGCGGCACTTAGAAAGCCGTGAGGACCGGTTGCAGGGGCTCACGCCTGTGATCCCAGCACTTTGGGAGGCCGAGGTGGCGGGGGTCACTTGAGGTCAGGAGTTCGAGACCAGCCAGGACGACATGGTGAAACCCCGTCTCTACTAAAAATACAAAAATTTACCAGGAGTGTTGGCACGTGCCTGTAATCCCAGCCATTCAGGAGGTCAACACAGGAGAATCGCTTGAACCCGGGGAGCGGAGCTTGCAGTGAGCCGAGATCGCACCACTGCTCTCCAGCCTGGGTGACAGAGCGAGACTCCGTCTTAAAAGAAAAAGAAAGGAAAGGAAAGAAAGGTAGCACAGTGAGGCTGGGCGAGATGGCTCGTGCCTGTAATTCTGGCACTTTGGGAGGCCAAAGAGGAAGGCTTGCTTGAGCCCAGGAGGTGGAGGCCGCAGTGAGCTGTGACTGCACATCAGCCTGGGTGACAGAGTGAGCCCAGCCTCAGACAAACAGCAGGCATGGTAGGCTGCCCACGAGTGTGGGTGAGATGGGGGTCCCTGGCACATGGGGCCACGAGGGGCTGTGTCAAGTTCTCCCTCCCACTCTAAGCTGGGCATTCCTACAGGGCAGAGCCAGTCAGCTCCTATGCATCCTTCAAAACCCAGGCTCAAAGCACCCTCTTCCTTGCCTTCTTCCCAGAGCTTCCCACTGTAATGGGGCCCCGGAAGCTAAGAATCTGTCAGGTGAACCTACCCGTCACCCTAGACTCCACAGTTCCCTCTCCTTCACTCCAGAGGGAAAGAATTTTTTTTTTTTTTTTTTTTTTTTTGCTGTGTCACAAAGTAAAAACCTTCAACTAAATTTCTCAGAATTCTCCGGGGGCTGGGAGTGAGGGGAGGGAGGGGTCCTGACCGCACCCCCTCACCTCAGGAGCAGCAGCTGGACCACCTGACCTGCTGATCCCCGACAACCTCCCCACCCTTCCTTATCTGGGCCCCACGCCGGCCCTGGTGATGCTCCCAGCTCCTTCTGTAAACATCCTCCTGCCCACCCGCCGCAGAGCCAGGGCGCGGCCCTGGGAACCCTCTGCCGCTGATCCTTTTTTTATTTATTTTGAGACAGTTTTGCTCTTGTTGCTGAGGCTGGAGTGCAATGGCGGGGTCTCGACTCACTGCGGCCTCCGCCTCCTGGATTCAAGCGATCCTCCTGCCTCAGCCTCCCGAGTAGCTGGGATTACAGGCGCGTGCCACTGCGCCCAGCTAATTTTTGCATTTTTAGTAGAGTTTATCCAAGTTGGTGAGGCTGGTCTTGAACTCCTGACCTCAGGTGATCCGCCCGCCTCGGCCTCCCACAGTGCTGGGATTACAGGCGTGTGCTGCCGCGCCCGGCCTTTTTTTTTGTATTTTAGTAGAGATGGGGTTTCTCTGTGTTGGCCAGGCTGGTCTTAAACTCCTGACCTTAGGTGATCCACCCGCCTCAGCCTCCCAAAGGGCTGGAACCCCACGTCGGCAGAACATGGGGTGAGGGCCGCAGACAGTACACAGTTGACCTCATAAGCCCAGAATTTCACTGACAGGACCGGGGCTTTCAGTGGGGGCTTGTGGGCTGTCAGGCCAGGGAGGGCTGACATCTGAAGCAGAGGCTCCTGGTACAGGGGCAGCCTGGCAGAGCCCTGAGGGTGGGTGGGGTGGCAGGGCGAGGAGGGGTTGTGTCTGCAGCGGGCTTCAGGAGGTGAGGTTGCAGGGGCCTGTGTGAGCCTTCCTCCTGGGCTAGCCCATCTGCCCCTGCGCTGACCCTCCCCGTTTCCCACCCTGCCATAACCACTACCCCCTCCTCCTTGGCTAGCCACCCACCCCCATCCCCTGTGCCTGTGCTAGCCCACCCCCCACGCCTCCCTCCCCTGCCTGGGTTAGCCCACAGCCCTCCATTCTCCAAACTGCAAGTCGGATGAGCTGAGCTTTCCCTACCGCCTGCCTGAGACGGCAGAGCCCCTGGGAGCGTGGCGGGGACGGGCCCCTGGGAGCGTGGCGGGGTTGTTTTGGCAGCTGCTGTGGTGGGTGGCATGGAGAAGGGTAACAAAGATCCCTGCGTCTCCCGCACATCCCTCCCGAGCTTCGAGGGCTGCACCATCCCCGTGCCCGGGTTACTGGTGGGGAAACCAAGGCGGAGCTGCCCCTCCAGTGCCCTCTCGAGCAGCGGTTGCCAGCCTGGGTGATCCTGTCCCCACAGGAGACCCTGGGCAGCGTCTGGCGACCTCTGTGGTTGTCACAGCCTGGATGGCGGGTGCTTCTGGTGTGGAGAGGGTGGAGGCGGGGACACTGGGCTCCCTGCAGTGCCCGGGCAGCCCCCCACCTCCCTCTCGCCCCTTCCCCCAGGAACCCCCGTGAACCGCATCCCCATCATGGCCAAACAGGTCCTTGACCTGTTCATGCTGTACGTGCTGGTGACGGAGAAGGGCGGCCTCGTGGAGGTCATCAACAAGAAGCTGTGGCGGGAGATCACCAAGGGCCTCAACCTGCCCACGTCCATCACCAGCGCGGCCTTCACCCTGCGGACCCAGTGAGCGGCGGGCGGCTGGGCGGAGGTCGGGCCGGGGTGCTCTGGGCAGCCGGTGCCAGGCGCCTGCAAAAGAGGGGGCGGTAGGCAGCCGCTGAGGGCACCAGGCCACGCTGCGCATCCTGGGCCTGAGAGCATCAAGTAGGGGTGTGAGAATCACACAGGCGCTGAAGTTATGCAATCAGAGGCCATCGCAGGGAGCAGCATTGAGGCGCAGGGAGCAGCATTGAGGCGCAGGGAGCAGCATTGAGGTGCAGGGAGCAGCATTGAGGCGGAGGGAGCAGCATTGAGGTGGAGGGAACAGCGTGGGCGAAGGCCCAGCGGCTCCAGGGCCTGCTGAGCAAATCCAAGGGCGGAGCCAGGCATGGTGGTGCCACAGTGGGATTTACTTTGTACTGAAGGCCACAGGGAGCCGCAGGGGTGACCCGGGCGCCATTCTGTCCCCTCGTCCCACCCACAGATACATGAAGTACCTGTACCCTTATGAGTGTGAGAAGCGAGGCCTCAGTAACCCCAACGAGCTCCAGGCAGCCATAGACAGCAACCGTCGGGAGGGCCGGCGCCAGAGCTTTGGGGGCTCCCTCTTTGCCTACTCGCCGGGCGGGGCGCACAGCATGCTCTCCTCGCCCAAGCTGCCCGTGTCCTCCCTGGGCCTGGCCACAAACACCAACGGCAGCTCCATCACCTCCGCCCCCAAGATCAAGAAAGGTAAGGACCTGCATGGGGCCTGGCTGCCCGACCTTGGGGGACCCCTCTTCCGTCTCCGGGTAACCAGGATGAGAAACCCTGTAGTTGGCGTGGAAAACGGCTTCCGATTTGAAGAGCGCTTCCCACCTACCAGCCCTCTGCCCGTGGCAGACATGACCAGTCTATCACTGTGTGATTCCACACAGGTGGCAGGCAGACATTGCTAATCAATCCATGTTTCCAGTCCTGTGGCCAACGCAGGCATTATTAATTGATCCCTGTTTGTCTCATCCACGCCGAGGGAGGCATCACCAGTTGATCAGTTTTCCTCCCTCTGAGCCTCTGAATCCTCCATAACGCAGAGGTGCCAACAGCATGTGCCGCAGCGTGGCCGCCGTTTGCCCGTCTGGGCTCCCGTTTCTCGT